ATATATATATAATGTATCAGCTTTAATTTTTGGAATCAGCACCCCAAAGTTAGTGCAAAACAAGCATTGGATTTAATTCTGCAAATATGATGCAGAGTGGTATTATGATTTCTTTGTGTTCACTTTTCCTTTTAAATCTACTATATATAATTGTGACTTAAAATTTAATTATCATTAAAATACTGAAATAATGATCTAAGTAAGTTTGTGTCAGTGTTGTCAATTAACTTAACATATAATATACATTCCCGTTCAAAAGTAAAGGGTCAGATTTTTTAAAAGAAATTAATACTTTTGTTCAGCAAGGATACATTAAATTGTTAAAAAGTGACAGTAAAGACATTTCTAATGTTACAAAAGATTTTTGTTTCAGATAAATGTTTAAATGTTCTATTTATTCAAACTTTCTATTAATCAAATAATGTTTAAAAAATTCAGCTTTGCCATCAAAGGAATGTTACAATATAAAATATTCAAATAGAAAAGTTTTTTTTTTTTTTAATTACAATTTGCTGTATTTTTGATCAAATAAATATATCTTTGATGAGCATAAGAGACCTTTCAAAAACATTAAAAAAAAAATCTAATATTATTTTCACATTATATTAACCATCATTGATGAATGATCTTCACATCTCCACAACCCAAATCAGCATATAGTTTATATCAGTATAGAACACAGAGCCTCTTACCAGATGTTGTGACGTAGACCATCCTTCTCTCTCTCCAGCTCAGCACACTTCCTCTCCAGCACCTCTCTCTCCCTGTCACACTCCATCAGGCTGACTTTCAGCTGGCCCTCACTCTCCAACACCTTCAACAAATACAGGATATGCATGATACATACAGCAGGAAAATAAGTAATTACTGAATGATTTCTATGTCAGTTTAAGATTCCTATGTTATATTACCTTCCTGAGTTTTTCAGAAACGTCCTCTTTGTATTCTTTAAAGGTCACTGTGAGCTTCTCTGCATTTCGAAGTGCTTGGTTTCTCTGCTGCTCAGCACTTAGAAGGAAACATTTTCCCAGAATTTAAGTTGCGAGCTTTCAGGAATTACAAAAAGACTTCTTGTAAATTTTAGATAATTCCAGCTTTAAGTGATTACTGTTCCCAGGATGAATGAGTCTAACGTTTTCATTAGTGTAACTAATCTTGTACCGTTTTCCCAGACGTGTTCTTTCAGCTAACTCAGCTTTAACAACTCTCAGCTCATCTCTGAGCTTCTCCACCACCCGGTTACTCTGCATCACTGTCTGTTCACTTTCTTCCACCTTCTGCTCTGTAGCCCTGAAGAAACAAGAACATGCTGCTCCAGATATCTGCCACAAAAGAATCTGATTTTTCCGAGGAGGATGTAAGTGGTAGAGAAGATGAACCTACACTAAAGCTTTGGTTTGGGTTTCTAGTTCTGCCTCAAGACCCAGAATCTGCTCCTTCATGTGAGACACACTGGAGGTCCTGGCTCCCAAAGTGGATCCCAACATGCGGATCTATACAAACAAAACATCAGTTAACAATATAACCAGAGAGGATTTCAATTTTCATTTAATGGCAACTTTAAGGTGTCAAAGTGTTTTTAAAACATGTTTCTAAGCTGTTTTTATGGTGTTCAAAATATATATATATTTTTTTTTAATTTAGTTAAAAACTAACTAGTTCTTAAGAAACAGTTTTCACATAGTGGCTGTGTTTTACTGAATTACCATATGGCTTCAGAAGACTGAGAATATAGAGTACAAATTGTATGGATTACTTCTATAATAATTTTATATTTATAGTTATTTTGCAGCTTCACAGAACCAGTCCTCATTCACTTTCATTTTAATGAACACTGGCCAGGATATTCTTCTTTTGTGTTCTATAGAGTAACAATGTAAAGGATGACACATTTTTCTTTTTTTACCTGCAGTTTGTTCAAATCTCTTATGCCAAGTATGAACAATAGTAATAGTGATGCTTGATTTATTAAACACCAGTAATTAAAACAAATGATGTTTTAATTAGAACAACATGTTATTAACACATTGTAAAAATAAACACAGTTAATTATTAGGTATAAACACAATCGTTCACAAGTTTGGGGTCAGTAAGAAATTCTGTAAATTCTATACTTTTATTCAGCAACTATAGATTACTTTTTTTTTTTAAAGTGACAGTACACACATTTATAATGTTACAAAATATTTTAATTATTTTAAATAAATCCTGTATAAAAAGTATAAGTGTTATATTATATACATACTATATAGAATATAATAATAATTTTAAAAATAAGCGGTCCTATTTTTTTCAGTATTGATAAAAAGAAATGTTTCTTGAGCATCAAATCAGCCTACCAGAATGATTTCTGAAGGATCATGACACTGAAGACTGAAGTAATAAATTACGCTTATTTTAAAATATATTAAAATAGTTCATTTGAATTGTACTAATATTTCACAATATTAAAAAAAACTAACCTTGCCCAAATTTTTGAACAGAAGTGTACCTCTTAAATAACTCAGCTGAAACCCAACACACAGTATAATAAACTGACACCATAACCAGTCGCTATGTGAGGAGCATTACCTTGGACTTTGAGCTGACTAACTCAAGCTGAGCAGCTTCTATGTCACTGATAAGCTGCCTGTTCTCCATGGCCAGAGAAGTGTTTTCCTGCCTGATGGTGTTAAGCTTCCTCCTGAGTACAGACATGTCAGTCTCCATGTCTCTGTCTGACTACAGATGAACACAAAAAACACAGCTCAAATAAGGCAAAAACCTTTAAAATCGGTGGGTTTTGGGGGTCTATTTTACGAACAACAAGCATTTAAAAGGCAGCAACACTTTAGTCCATTTATCTGCTATATCTTCACAGCATCTTACCCTGCAGTCACTGATGGATACACATGCACACACCCTCTGCTCAGGCTGTGAATATGCTCCTCTTGGTTGTCCAGGATCAGGATTCTGAAGGTCCTCTAAAGTAAGACGACCTGGGAATCCGTCCACTGCACTTCTGTTTTTATCCTCACCGGTGATGCCATTTCCTGATTGACTGAAACGAGTGCCAGAACAACTTTTTTTAATTATGAAATGCTAACAATACAAGAAATGCAATAATACTTAGCAGTAGTAGGCTACTGTATAATATCACAGTAATTATTTACAAAAGTTATCAAAACAAGCAAAGACATTTAAAATTACATGGGCCAAAGCGACATTTCTAAGAAAATCTAAGAAGGGACACAAAACAGACACAAAACTGCATCTTGAATCATATCTGAAAGAGCTATCATCAAGTAAAACCCACAATGCATTTCAGCAATCCTCAACTGACTAAATGCCTCACCTCAATTGTTCCCCCAGTGACTGCAGGTTTTTCTCGGTTAATCGCAGCTGATTTCTCAAGGAAACAACATCCTCTGCCAACCCCCTGTTGTCTTTGAACATTGGTGATTGTTATGAAGAGCCCTGTAAATAAAGGTTATCTTTGTTAAATGGAGTTGGCTAAAAACGAACAATAAACTCGCACCATAGTTCTTGCTTGAAACACTTTCTTATTTTAATTTACAGCGTTGTCTATCTATGGTTATGAGTAATGAGTTATCATACCTAACGTACCTTACACTCAAGTGACTTGGCTTCATTTCATGTATTCAACAGGTTGTCAAGGAACAAACGGCAACTGTATCACCATTTTTCAGCTCTCCACTGCTTTTCGGTGGGTTCATTGACAAGATATTTCTATAGTAGTGAATACCTGCTCATCAGCATGTTCAAACCTACAGTTTTGTGTAGAAAACGCCTTGTTTCCAGTAGATTTAGCCTAGCATTCCCTGCTTTGAGATCTAAACAAAACGCGCTGCCGTCGTCACTTCAGTTGATTGGCTGAGACGAAAAACCGTCCTCAACAGTCGTGACGTAATACTGACGTGCTAGGGCCGCGAATGACAGCGCGAATATTACAGCGCTAAAGTTTCACTGTTTTTGTAATATTTTTATTTACATTGTACTGTATGATGGTTAAAATAGCTGTTACTGCTTTGTTTATTTGATACATTAAATCAAATGAATGGTGATACATTCACCATCAAGTTATTTATTGTAGCAAATAAATTAGCAGGGCCATAAAATGTTGTTAATTGCGTGTTATGAATGAATTTTTCTCTTGGTAATATATTAATGTGTACAGTGCTGGGGAGTAACTAGTTACATGTAACGGCATTCCATAAATTAATTACAAAATAAATGTAACTGTTAATAAATAAATCTGTTACAGTTACTGAGAAAAAGTGTGTAACTAAATTAGTTACTTATCAAAATGTGAACGATTACAAAGGGGGTTACATCTGAATATTTTCATACACATACAGATTTAATTGATTTCTTTACCATAATGCATTCACTGCTCTAAAAGGAGACACCTGTTTCAGGAGTTCACAGAATAGCACACATGCTTATTCCATAACTGTTTTATTTCCTTATTAGTGTTTATGTGCTTTATTTTAATTTTTTTTTAAGATTGTTTTTTTTCCCCAAGGCATTGTTAGATGCCAGTGTTCCCTGTCAAAGCTATGCAAAGACAAAAACGGGATCATAGCTATTAAACTATTTTTATTTTAAATTATTTAAATCTGTAATTAACTTCAGGATGATCTCAACGTAGAAAGAGGTGCTGAAGTCTGATTTTGTGGTGGCTGTGCTTTAAAATTAAATTATTATAATCTTAAAGTGACAAAGGATTTTGAAAGTCTGACAGTAATCAGTGTTGAGTATTATTTTAAGGTTAACCCTGCCTGGTTTAAATGTTTGAAAAAGATTAACAATTTAAAACGTTCATTGGAAATTTAGAAAAGTAATCAAAAAGTAATCAAATGTAATCGTTAATTACTTTAATAGCTTGTAGAAATAGTTACACTACTAATTACATTTTAAATAGGGTAACTTGTAATCTGTAACCTATTCTATTTCCAAATTAACCTTCCCAACACTGAATATGCATAAAGTAAATAAATATGCAAACACATTAGCAGAGGGCCATAGACATTTCTTAAATTATTTCTGTAATTTTTGGCCAAATAGTATTTATTTTTTTTCAAAACCATTAAAAAATGGCTAGTTACACTGATAAGGTTTTAGATCTTTATTCTTTGGCTAAAGGAGCCTGCTCAAAGCCCGGAAAATACAAAGCAAGCTTTACTAACACTGGTACACCAACTGAATAATGCTTCATACACATAACATAACAACACAAAATAATGATCTTTAAAATAGCATCATATGAACCCTTTAATATTTATAAGATGTTTTTGTATCAAAATCAGGAGGTATTAATGTTGAAGTCCAAAACTTGCCTGATACCAATACTACTTCCACCCTCTGCAAGTGGTTAGATAATATTATTGAGAACAGGGCATTCTCAGGTAAAAAAATTTCCACCTAAAAATTCATACAACTTTAGAATTTTAGAAATGTATGAAAATACAAAGCTAAGAACTGAAAATCTCATTTAGATGTCCTATCAAATCTTACAGTGAAGTTGTAAATTAACCTGAGTGCTCATGTGAATTGACAATTTGTTAGTGTACACTGTTTGAAAGCAATAAATAGCACCACAAAAAGCCTGAGTCAATTGTAACAAAAATATTGCTGCTGTTTTCGGTTTGTAATGAAGCTGAAGCTGCAAAAAAAAAAAAAAAAGAAACAGAAATACACAGGTCTGTTGAATTAGTTGCATAGTATAACAAAGTATACAAATAAGACTATCCCTCAGTCACAAAAATACAAATTAGACATCCGATTTAGAATTTAAAAAACAAAACAGCGCTTGGCCTAAAAATAAAAACCTTTAAAACTTAAATTCCCATGGCAGATATTACATTTTTTTTAAGGGGAGGATATACAAAGACCTCCTAACGCTACAGCGCTGTCATATGCTTTTAAGATAAATTTTATATACAAATAAAATAAAAAATAAAAAAATAAATAAAAAAGCCTTCGATTAGCCTTCTGGGAATGTGGAATGTCTCAGAAAATACCAAGATTTTATGTAAATATTAATGCTAATCATATATTTTAATTTTGTTTTGTGGCAGGAGAACAATTAACCATTTTCCATTGTTTTTTAACATCATAATCTCATTTTATAATCAAATTCACAAGCTAGGCTGTTTAAACTGAGATGACACAATACTGGATGTACAGGATGAGAGCTTATGTGCAATCAGTTGAAATGTAAATAAAAGTGCCCTATTGACAATAGCGCTCTCTCCTCTTGGCAATTCGAGCTATGAGAAAATGTTTAACTGAATAAGCAGAAAAAAATCCTCTGTCTCCAGCAGCATATATAATATCTGTTTCACAACCCCTTAAGGCACTTCCACATCAGAGACAAAAAGCAAGGACTTGGGTTATTTTCACATAGTAGTGAATTGATTATGTCCTAAACCTGAAACTACAGCCACCTTCAATGTGTAAATCCAGTCCATGTGAAGGCAGTCCGTTTCAATTTCCACAGAGACCGATCACATACACAAAACTTTACAAAGTCCCATCTCTTCATTATAGTCCTGAGGCCCCTCAACTATCTCAGTCAACCACATACATTTGGGCACAATCACTGCTCTTCTCTCCTTATAGGTTGCACATTTACTGTCAAGAAATGAAGTATATTAGACCCATATGAAGCTCAGGAGGCAGTGACACCCTCCCATTCCACCAAGTACTGTACTTTGCCGTCGTTAGTGACACGGCGAGCGAGCACACGGTACTTCTCACCACAGGCCAGGCGTCCTGCAGCTCCGAAATAAGTGCTGATGGAACTCTTGAGGTGGTTGAGCTGGGTGTTGGGGTCCATGCCACTGTAGAGGCAGGAGGGGAGGGGGCTGGGCTCGGGAACGTTGTTGCTGAGTTGCAGCTCTGGGTTGCAGGGTGGCGGAATCTCTGGATTCGGGGGTTGCAGTGCTCGTCGTGGACGTCCCCGGCGTCTCTTAATCGGCGGCTGTGTGACAGTGGGCCATAAGCATCCAGTGCGTGGTCCACTCGGACTGCCCAAACTAGAGATAAACAGGGTACACATCATACAGAATAAGAGTTATAATCTGCTTTTGAAAAATTAAGCTTGAGGTTCTGTATCTCTGATAGAGGTCAGCTTAAACCGCATAAACACATTTCATTACACCAAATACACAAAATAATGTTCTTTTTAGCAGCATCATATGACCCCTTTAAAATGTAACATTACTGTCTTTTCACATGATCATTCAGAAATTATAATATGCTGATTTCATGCTTAAGATATATTACTTCTTAATATCAATGTTGAAAATAGTTCTTCTGCTTAATATTAAATTATTATTTTTTCGGTCTTTTTTTTCTTTAATGAATATTAAGTTCAGAAGAACAGCATTTATTTCAAATGGAAATATTTGTAACATTATGAAAGTCTTTACTGTCACTTTTGATCAATTTAATGTGTCCGTGATGAATAAAAGCATCTTTGTGGCCCTTTTTAAACTTCTAAATGGTATAATCACATACTGAGGATGAATAATTGTCATGAAAATGAAATGAAAAATAAATCACCTGGACTGCCTTGCGAGGGTGGTTGAGGTAGTTTCACTGGTGCTGGTGGCACCAACGGATTCAACATCTGAGGTACTTGATGAAGGCAAAGATTTTTCACTTTTAGCACTAAAAAAATGTAATGGGAAAAGAGTGGGATTTTTGTAATTCAACAATTTCTAGAAAGAATTCTGTGTTAATCCCCGTCTAACCTTTTTGAAGTCATCAGGTCCAGTGAGTTGTTGTCTAGAGTTGGAAACTTCCCATCATTCTGCATTAAAAAAAAAAAAAAAGTTAAAAACTAAATGTTAATGTCCACATTAATTAAACTATGTGTTTGTAGATGACAAACAAAACCATGAAACAAAACCAGCAAATAATGTAAAAATGAATCTCACTTCTTTACCTGTGCCAAAAGTTCACTTGATCTTCTCAGTTTGGCCAACATCTCTAAGGAGTGTGTGTGATGCTTCCTCTTTCCTTTCTTCACTCCATTAGTGACAGTGCTAAACCAATTACAAAATTAAGGCAAATAAAAAAAAACAATAAAACTGAAGCTTAGAGTACATCATAAGATACGTTCACGACAGTGAAGCCAATAGAATTAAATAAGTGATGACTAACCTGAATGAATGAGGGGGTTTGGTGGCCTTCCTGCCTTTGATTTTGATCTCATGGGAGGCTTTTTCCGGCTCTCGACCTGAAAGGAGCTCGGAATTCTGGGGGGCTGGTGGGAAGCGAATTCGTAATCCAAACAGATGTTTCTTCTTTTTTATCTCTTTCCCTGACATGAACCTAAAACCCACCAGGGTAAAAAAAGAAGATAAATTCATTCAAGCTTTACTGTATTACGGTAAAATGCCCATGATGGGCATACAGTCTGGTTTCCACCCTTTTCATAGCACAGAAACTGCACTTATAAAAATCACTAATGACCTTCTTATGGCAGCTGATTCTGGTTTAGTCACTATTCTTGTCCTCCTTGATCTAAGTGCGGCCTTTGACACCATTTCTCACACCATCCTTCTCAATAGACTAATCTCTATTGGCATCACTCACACCCCTCTGGATTGGTTTAAATCTCATCTTTCAGGGCGCACTCAGTTCATCCAGCTACAATCTTTTAGTTCCCAACCTTCTCCCGTTAATACTGGTGTGCCTCAGGGCTCTGTCCTGGGACCCCTTCTTTTCATAATTTATCTTCTTCCTCTTGGCAATATCTTTCGGGAACACAACATCCTATTCCACTGTTACGCGGATGACACCCAACTCTTATCTCTCCAGCAAACCTAATTCCACTCTCCCTCTTCCGCTCTC